CCGCCGCCACGCAACCGCGCTACCCGCGGCGCCGGACCACCACCGCTGGAGGCGACGCCGGCCCGGAAACCCGTGCCCCGCCCCCGCGAGCCAGACAGACCCACCTGCCCCAGGGGCCACGGGCCGGGGCGAGCACGGCCGGCCGAGCCTTGACACAAGTGCAGCGGCCCAGGCCGTTTCACATTCAATTCATGCGAGGGGACAAATAAAGTCCTATATGCTTTCTGTATTTGTATGTTACCTTGTTCTTGGTTATTTTTCTGACTTTAAGATTTGATGGTGCGAGCTCTCCCCCTCACTTGGACGATTCCATTCACTCCCACCACCGAGAATGTTGTTGTGTTTCGACTGGAACAACTCACTTCCGCCATAGAGACGAAAGGGAAGGAGAGGCCCATGAGCTCTGTGCTGCCTCTCTAGGCTGGGAGGAGTCCTTTGCGGCGAGCCAGCCCCTAGGGCGGAGACGTGGTCCCTAACTCCGGCCTCAGAGGCCAGGAAGGGGCACCGATCCCCCAAGATGAGGGGCATGCTGCTTGGAGAGGTGTCCTGGAGATGAGCCCAGGCGGCTGCATTAGGCTGAGTGGGTGGCAAAAACTTTAGCGTTTCCAGTACTTAATAGACAGGATCCCTGGCCGCATAAAGAGGCTGGAGAAAAGGACTTAACCTTACTCTGTGTTACCATGATACAGAAGCACTACTTGGTGTTTTACCTTAACCGATCTGGTGACAGTCCTTGTAAGGCCGGTAATTCTGCCATTGCCTCTGTGTGTGCCTCTTGACGTCACTCATCCTTTCTGATTTCCTCCTCTATGTTGGGAGCTGCTGTGAGGATTACAAGAGATAGTTCATATGAAAAACCTTTGTGTACTGTAAAGTGTTATATGAATATGAGTGCATTTATAAATGCTATGTAACTTCCTGTGAGCATGTTTGGTTCTCCAAGTAGATTGTACGTCCAGGGCAGACAGGGGTTTCTCAGTTGCTCTGTTAATGCCCACAGAACCTGGCATGCCCCCAACCCCAACAGCAGGCACTCCTGAGTTGTTTACTTGGGGATTAAGATGCTCATTTTCCTAACACGCACTTTCTTTTCCAAAATAATAATATATAACATTTATTGAATGAAATGGAAAGGGAATGATTAGAAGTGTTTTGTATATGTTCATTAATTTAATCCTACGAGATAAAGAAATTGACCCTGGGAGAGGTTAAGTAACTTGTCCAAGGTCACTGGGTAAATGGCAGAGCCTGCGGTTCAAATGCAGGATTCCTTACCACTACAGAAGTTCTTGCTGGTTTCTCCACCCTCTCACTCCCATGCACTGCCACACTCTAATACACTGCCCCCCAACACCTGCTCTCTGGTGGAGAAACGCCTTGATTGGTAGCGTTTGCCAGTTTTCTACTACAACCAATTTCAAGCTATAGGCCATCACTGAATGTGGAGTCCAGAATGAATAGAGGATTACATTTTGATCATCAGAGTTACAATTGGCTCTAGAGTACCAGTACCAGCTGGCTCCAGCATACCACTGGCACCTACCTGCTCTTTAGGCTTCCCCTGTCCCACCCAGTTCTTCCAAACCCCCCTACTTAACCCCTTCTCCTGGCTGAACCGGTGGGGACCTGGTGGGGACCCCATCTATTCCTTATCCCCTTCCTTCCTCCCCATGGTTCTACCCTGTGCAGCCTTGGTCTCTGGTTTGTCTCTGTCCCCACTGCAGATACCTCTCCCCAGGCAGCCTCAGAGTTCCCCCAGAGCCTGGGGAAGGAGAAAGCTGCCTGTCTTGCAGACCAGTAACCTTTTCTGGAGCCTGGACTTAACCTGTAGGAAAACAGGATAAAATATTAAGAGGGAAGGGTATGTGAGGAGCCAAAGGATGGGGACCCTGGAGGTTAGAACCCAGGGGGAGGAACGAGAGCCTAACTCCCAGACACTACAGTGAGTGAAGGGAGTGACTGACCTCTCTCTACTTCTGACACAGTCCATCTGTGTCAGGGCCCTTTGCTGCCACTATCCTGACATCTTCATCATCATCCCCACTGCCAGTCATTGAATCTTACTAGGCACCATGCCAGCACTTCACATGCGCTATTGTGTTGATTTCTCCAGCCATCTTTGAAGGGAAATATCATTTCCCCTCAATTTACACATAATGAAGCTGAGGCTTAGGGATATGTCGTGACTTGCTTTAATGGCTAATTTTATGTGTCGACTTGACTGCCACAGAATGCCCAGATATTTGGTCAAACATTATTCTGAGTGTGTCGGTAAGGGCTTTTCTGGAAGAGATTAATATTTGAACCCCTAGGCTGAGTAAAGCAGATCACCCTCCCTATTGAGGGTGAGCCTCATGCAATCACCCTGAATAGAATAAAGGGCTGACCCTCACATGAGCGAGGGGAACTCCTTCTGCCTAACATCTTCCAAGTTGGGACATTGGATTTTTCCTGCCTTCAGACTTGAACTGAAATATCTGCTCTTCCTGATTTTGAGGCTCCTGGCTTTTGGAACTACACCATCAGCTCCTAGGTCTCCAGCTTGCTGACTGCAGATCTTAGGACTTGTCAACCTCCACACATATATTATATATATATATAAAATAAATATATATATCCTGCTTGGTTCTGTTTCTCTGGAGAACCCTGACCAATTAATACACTTGCCAAAGCCACATGGCTACTCTTTCCTCATTCCGCCAGTTCTTTTACCCATACTTGTCACTACTCCAAAACTCAGCCTGTCTGTGGAGCCTTTCTTGCCTGAGGATGAAGCCAAACCCTCTCACCTCTCCAATCTCAGGCCCAGATGCTGGCCAAGACTTGCCTTCTCTTACCTCCCTGAATCCTTATAGGTGGTTCTCATTGCACCTCAGTTCCTGGGTCCTACACCCATGTAGGTGGTCTTGACAGGGAAGAAAGGCCTTGGTCAAAATGGAGAGACTATGTGGAATGAATTCTCCCATCCGATGCCACCATCCCTGATGATCAAGATGTAATCATTCATTCATTCATGCCACACATATATAGATGTCCACATGCTAGGCCCATGTCATACCAAAGTGGACAAGTCCCAACTGTGGCCCTCTGGGAGCTCAGAACCTTGCAGAGGAGATGGACCGGGAGACATACCTGGGCAAGAGAACACAAATGGGGTGAAAGAAATGGCAGCAGGTTCTGCATGGCTAGATGAGACCAGCGTGGAGGCTACTGCTGTCATTCCAGAGAGATGCCTATGGCCTGGATAGAAAGTGACACATTCAAAGTGAAGATGAGTCCCAAGCCATGCTCTCAGCAAGTTGAGAGGTGACTGGGCACAAAAAGAAAACCAGGACAGCTGCAGAGAACACAGGATAGCAGCCTGTGGATGGAAGTGGGCAGGAAGGGAATCCTGGAAAGTGATTCCAAGAAGAAGTGAGGCTACAAGGAATTATTCTTGGGAGGCTTCCTGGGAAAAAGGAAAGAAAAGAGCTAGGAGGAGAGGTCTCACTGAGGACTGAGGACAGAAACTGAGACTACTGAGGCAGGAGAGGCAAGGACTTCTCAGCCAGAGCCCAGAGCCACGGCCAGCCAGGCAGATAGGCAACTGGCTGAGGCCCTCTGAGCCAGACCTCCAGCAAAGGTCTGTGGAGGGACCTTGAAGGCCAATGAGAGACCTTGGGAGTAGGCAGCTGGCTTTGCAGAGTGAGTGTGGCCTCGGATGGCCCCACCCATCCTAGTGCATGTCCCAGGGGAGAACTGATCCCTGACGCTAGTGCTGCAGGCCACCCCCAGCCATTCCAGAGCTGACCCCTGTGGCGTCACAAGAATGACTCAAGTCCCAACAACAACAATAAGTGGGACTGACGTCAGGCTGGGGGCTCCTG